AAAGTATAGTTTTTTGGAAACTATATTTTTTAATATAACAAGCCCATGAAGGAGGATTTATTTCACATTCTCCTTGTTATATGCTGGCAAAATATTTATATTAAAATGGTCCATGGACCGTGCAAATAATATTAAACTCTAGCACACTGCCTGCAAAATCTCTCAGTGTAACAAGGATGCAGAATTTGTCATTTTGCAGGACATTGGTGTTTCTATCTGTAAGGCAAGCTTTTTATTTTTTTTTGTCCAAAATATAAAATCTGACTAAAATCTTATTTTTACATGTTGGGGGGTCTCTAATTACATCACCCAATTCTGGAAGAGGCTGAGAAAGCATATGGAAAGAATCACTATTACACATCCCATCAGCCAAAAATGCACTCTAGCAAGGGAGTGTTCTAGAGGCCAGTGACAGATAAAATGCCATGGAGCTTTAACCTTCACAATTATCCTCTATTTTTTGTAAGAAGCTGCTCAGATAACATACTATGATGCTAATATAATTTGCTACAAATTTTTCCTGAAATCCAAACAATTTCACATACCAAATCCCAGGAAAATGAAACAAATTCTCTGATGCTGTCTAAAAAGGGTCCCTTTGCCTTCCTTTAAGGTCCAGTGCAAACATTTTCAAATAAGACTGATTTTCTGAAGTGCTTTTTCTGCCTTTCTGGAGTCCAAAGTATGGTCTGCTTACATATCATTACTTTAATGATTGACTATGCTTACCCATAGCCTGTTGTCTTTTGTTTAATCTAATAAATAAATCATTGACAAAGATATTGGCCGTGTGTAGATGAAACGAGAGGCATGTGGCCACGACACTTAAAGTGGGCTAAATGCTTTTGCACCACTTTAATGGTGTCCGTATTTGCGTGCCTTGGTGGTGTATTGCACATTATTTCCAGGCACTGTAGGAAATTCGGTGGCATAACGCACCTTAGATGACTTGGGATGCTGCAAACTAAAACTCCTTCGAGGAGTTCAAGGAGTTTTAGCTTGCTGCCCCTACAGCTGTGGAGCGAAGCACCGGGCTCCGTGCAGCTCGGCAGCTATGCAGGAAGCCCTGCAGGCAGCCTGGCAGCATCCTGGGAAAGCAGGCTCCACCCAAGAAAAACAGTGAGCCTGATCTTTTTTTTCCCCCCTGGAGCCTGCCTGCCTGCCTGCCTGCCTGAGCTGCGTGGGGGCCCGGTGCTTCCCTCCATGGCGGTGGTGTCCCCCAGGACTGCCTGAGCCGGGTGCCTATGGGCGGGTGCTGCCTGGGGGTGGGGGGACTGCTGCAGAGGGAAGCACCAGGTACCCCATTCCCCACAGCCCAGGGACCGCTCTGCCCACTGGCAGCTCGCCCTCCCCTCCCCGCTGGAGAGGCAGGTAAGTCAGCGGGGGGTGCGCACGACACAGGGATTGAATCATCCCTAAATTGAAGTGGTGTTCTTTAAAACCCACCATTTCAATTTAGGGCCCCCATTTCAACTACACACGCTCATTGTGACTACCAATACTCTGTTATCAGTAATATGCTATCAAATTTTCCTGTTGTAACAAACAGCTCAATTTTCTGTTAGACCACATGAACAGGAATTGAATTAAGGTTTCACATAATAGTATTAGACTTCCATCTTTTCATAATTACAGTAAAGATGAAAATAGACTCAGGAAATGAAAAGATTCCCATTAACATAAAAATTAAATTTAAAACTGAAGACTGACTTTTTAATTTCTATATATCCTGCACTGCCCTAGAGCAGTGAGGATCAATCTTTTTGGCAGGTGTGCCACAAGTTAACCTCATACCAAGTGCCAAGCCGATCCCCTTCCCCTGCCCAATTTGCTGCTCTGCTTTCTGCTTCCTGCCTCATCTGCTGCTTCTGCCCTGTTTGTCACTATGCTGACTGTCCTGTCACTGGTCTGTCCCATGCTATATACAGAGGCTGTCTCTGTTACTTGTGGCACAGGTGCAACAGGTTGGCCACTCCTGTCTTAAAACAGAGGTTGGCAAGATACGGCCAGAGCCAAATCTGGTCTCTGGAGCCTTTGGATCAAGCCAGCAGAGCCATGGCTTTCACAGCATTTGATTGTGAGGGGCTCTGGGGAGTTCTCCCTGTACCATACCACTGTCAGGCACCTGAGATTCCAGTGGAGAGGGAGGTTTGCCCATATTGCACCATAGTCAGGTGGCAGTAGTCAGGTGGCATGGGCAATGGCAGTAGAGGTTGTGCCCACACGATACTGCAGCCATGCAGCAGGCAGATTCAGTACAGGGGACCGGGCCCACCTTCCTCTGACCCCAGCTGGGTCATTTCAGCTTCTCTTTTAGAAAGCTCTGCTAACCCCTGCCCTAGAACAATGATTTGTGACATGCTGAACCACATTTATTTTATTTAGTTTTACAAACATCACCAATATGACTTTCATGTTGGTTTTATTAGAGATCTCAAACCTTATTTAAGATTATTTAAAATATTTCTTAAAAGAAGTGATTTGCACATGAGGTTTTTAAAATTATGGCTGTTACTTTTAGATTCAATGTAATTTTAGCAGAGATCACAGAGAAAATCCAGGTAGGACTGCCAAAGGGATCAAGTTCTAACAGCAAAACTTTAAAGAACAGCAACAGACCTGATTTGAAACATTCCTTCTAATCAGACAAACACCTCTGGGATAAAATGGGCTTCCGTATGAAACTATGTACCAGCATCAAAACTATTAAATCAGTGGGGCTGCACTCAGATAGCAATATGGAAGGAATTCCTTTTCCAAAATTCCAGGCAAATTAGGAATAAGAAACTGCACTCTATGGGTGCATCCAGATGCACATGGACGTTTGGTTCACTGAGGACAAGTAGCAGCGGTGTACCCGGGGAATGCCTGTGCCACATGAGCTTTGATGCGTGGCAAGTTGCCCCTTGTGAGGTAGTGGAGGCAGGGCTAGCACTGGGCTGGGCCCAGCAGCCTGACCTGGGGTTCCAGGGGCTCCCGGGGCTGCAGCCGTGGTAATTCAGCTGTGCAGAGTCTGCCTGGCAGTAGAGCGAGACAACAGGCAGCCTAGCTCCACTTTTCAGCAGCATGTGCTGGCTGAGCATGAGTTGCTCTGGGTTTTTTCCCCATGTTTTTTTTTGACCCCTGGATATCCATGGGTCAAAAAAACATGCAGAAAGAAACCCCGGCACAGCACATGCTTGGGCAGCACACCATTGCAACACAGAGAATACCAGACTTTGCGGTATGTGGTGCTGGAAACGTATTTGCAGCACCAGATACCGCACAGCTGTGCTCATCTGGATGTGCCCTAGAGCAAAAGTCTTCTAAAGCTCCATTACTGTTATATTGCATGCACTACTCTATACAGATTCATACACCATACTCATCACAGTACTGTCCCTGTGCCTTCCATAAGTTTACTAAGCAATGCAACTAACATCTGTCACACATTTGTTCTCTTTTCAGGGTAAGAATAGTATGCACTGAAGTGTTTAATTTGGTAATTTTTGAGAAACGCCCCCCCATAGATTAAATACAAATACACACACATATACCCACTCTAAAAGTCAAAGAAATATTCTTTCTATTTAGAGAAGGAGGTGTTGAAGTTTGTGATGGTTGTTGTTACTTCCTGAGGGAATTCATTCCACAGTCTGCAGTTGCAGCCTAAGCTCTGTTTTTTACCCTTATTGTATAAAGTAGTTTGGTGCCAGAAAAGCAAAGTTGGTAACCACCATTTTTATCTTTAGGTGATCTTTTATTAGATATTCCCAGATATTTGAGGACTGAAAGTCCCTGAGTGCCTGAAAGATTAGGACTGAGACCTTGAATCTCTATACTTTGATGAAAAACTTTTGACCATAAATTCCACAAAAATGCCATGGATTGGCACTACGGAGCCTTTGCAAAGCAGGAAAAAGTGAAAGGTGGAACATCTCAAAAAGCCCAAAAGCTAAATCCTCTCACCTGTGTTTTTTATATTAAAACCCCAATTCTTTAAGCTGCGCCCTGTATGTTCAGGGACATTAAGGTGGAGTTTTGATGTTAGTCTTGAATAATCTTGTCATTTGCTCTTATGCTATATTTTCCAATTATATTTCATTACAGGGAACAAATAAGGAGGGAAGAACTGACCTCAAAATAAGCCATTGTCTAAAGCACAGAGAGACAAATCACTCAATAACATATATGAACTGGGTTTGTAACATTTTCCCCTTAAAAGTTAAACTACAGGTCTGACGTGACACTTACTGTTAAATATATGAAAATCAACAATGGCTGCATACTGAATATAGGTTTCATAGTAGAAATGTAAGATGCCAAACAAGGTTGGCTTATAAAGAAAAAAGGTGATCCAGGGCTTATACAGTGAAAGTAAATAGAATGAATTTATCCTCCCATACTTCAGGGATAGAAACAAGAAGTACTACAATAAACACCACCATCAAGCACTTAGGGCATAACTGTTCTAGTTATGTATACTGTACTTCACTTAATTATTGGAACCTCTATACCTTAGGTGCCCTGTCCCATCAGGCTGATATAATTTGACTGGGTTTATGCATCCAGAATTACTACACAGTCAGTGGACCTCCTAAAAGCAATCCAGAAACAGCAGAAGTGCCTAGAGGAAATGCTGAACACAGGGGTATATCTGAATTCCTGTTCATTTTAAGAATTCAGATGCCTGACTCAGGGTCTCCATTAGTTGCTTCCATTCACTTGTGATTCAGAACACTTCAGCATCTTCTACACTGAACTGGTTGGTGGTAGTGGCCATCTTCTATACAATAGTCCAGTGATTTTGAGCACTCACCTAAATTTTGGGAAACCTGAGTCCTAGGCCCTTCTCAGCCTGAGGGAATTCCAATACATATCTCCTACTTTCCGGAGACTGCCCTAACCAGCAAGCTTTAGAATGGTGTGCGCAATGGTACCGTCCAATCCTCTGGTTGAAGTTGGGTTACTGAGCAGCCAAAATTTAGAAAATCAAGGAGAGTAAGCAAGAAAAAGACTACCTGTTAATCCAAATTTTTAAATCTTCAAGACAGGGTTCAGAACAGTAACTGGTGGCACACTGAACTGCAACAGATATCAGATATTTCATACTGTATTTAATCAAGAAAACACATTCTGTATTATCATTGTGAGGGACAGTGGGTGCACTTACATGTAATCAAACATACTGCAAAGTGCAGTCACATGTCTACACATGCACACCCATACCGTGCATAAATATGGCAACTTACGCCGACTTGAGCATAAATTTGATACCTGCATTATGCAGGTATCAAATTTATGCCCAGTTAGGTATTGTACAGTAACACAGGGGGCCTCTGCTGACTTCAGTTTGGGACTAAAGTTAGTCCCAAGGGCTGGCAGCCATCTGGCTGGAAGCTGAAGCGCCCTCTGGTGGCCAAAAGGGCACATGGCAGGCTGCTTTCACCTGGGACTAAATTTAGTTCTGGGTCACCTGCACATGTAGCTGCCAGCCTATTCTCGCTTACTGCGCAGTAAATTTAAGCTGGCGTAAATGCACGTGTAGAAACCCCCAATAAGTATCAATCTTATGTAATTTGAAATTAAATGTTTGAGATACACTGGTGTCTTACAAATGAAGACTATCTCCATTTGCTTTCTTTTTTAGCGAAGTCCATCTAAGCAGGGTCAGTCATTCTAATTTTTTACAGGAGAGATAAAAGGTAACACCTTTAATTAGACCTCTGTTAGTATTTTCTAGTCCCCAAACTTTGCCACCTTCCCTATGTTGCGTTTAATCTTACCACTCAGCATTAGAGGAATTTATAATTCCTAATGTCCAATTCAGATGAAAGGTAATTTGTATATCTTTTTTATATAAGATGGGCTTATTAATTCTCAAAATCAATTCCTAGTAAGGTGAATGCCATGGTAACTGAAATGCAATTTGGGATATATCTACCAAATATAAAAGCCTATAACTGCATAGTAATACACTCAAGAACATCATTCATGCATTCACACATTCATTCATTCCACTACAAGAGAATTTACGCAGTAAGAACAAAAAGACAAAAATCTACCAACTAGGCTGAGCCGCCATCCTTTCCATGTAGTCCTTGGCCATGTTTATGGCTTCGAGGTTCTCAGGGTAGAGCACACAGAACATTGCCAGGGCACCTAGGTTGTTTCCATATATTTCATTCCACCGAGAGCTGAATTCCTTGGGGTCCCAGGGAGGAAGGTACTCCAGTGGATTGGATAGCATGGTCTGCACTGCCTCAGTCAACCGATCTGTGATGTGCTGATGTGTAGTGACCGCCTTGAGCCGCAAATCTCCCACCTCTCCTTTAGAAAAGTAAAGCATGGGGTAGCTGTCGTAGTTGGCATTGATGAAAGGAATCACAGTTCTTGGGTTCTCATCAGTACTATAGGCCAACGCGAAATAAACCACATTTATGAAAAACACACTCGGGGCCCCCCGTGTGTGAGTCCTCATTGTGGCATCAGATCTCCAAGTCTCAATGGAAGCCAAACCATCTTTGAAATATCCTAGAGTAGACAAATATAAAAAGAAAAGGTTAGACAGTTTTTGGGACAATATTAATCCCTCAGGCGTGTTTTAGAAAAAAATATGATTCGGTCCAGAACTGTAAGAAAACTGATGTGCTTTAAGTAATTTTCAGACAAAATCCCTTCTGAGCAACTGCCTTTAAAATTAAGGAAATCTGTACTTTGGAAAGAATGCCCCTTTTCCACAGAAATATCTTTACTCAGATGATGGAGTGATAAGGATGGTATTAATATACAGTGACATACAACAAAATACATAAGCCTTAAACTCTTGACTCACCAAGATTTAGAATAATTGCCTTTGCCTAATGTAAAACATCACTGAGCATGCTAGCAAATGGAGGAGAAGGAAGGGGAGGGAGACAGAAAGATTGTGTTAACAGCAGCCAAGACTGTATGCTGGATTGGCTGATGTTAACAGCTGTGGAGTAAAGGATTTGGAATGCCGGAGGTTTGTGCTGGGGTCATTTTATACTGTGTACAAGGCCTCTGGTTCTGACACGTCTTCATTTAAAAAAAGAAAAAAGAAAAAGAATGCAACAGAATCCAGGAAAAGCAGTTGAAATAACTGGCCCTTAGGGTGTGTGTCAGACTTTTTTATTATTATTATTGTAAAGGTTCCTTCATTTTACATGTGGAGATTTACAGGCAGTTACTAAAAAAGGCTGAAAGTAAAATAAAAATTACTTATTTTCCTACATACATGACTGTGTTAAAATGTGTTTCAATGGCAAATCTATACAGAGGTTAAATGTAAATGTTTAAATATAGTTACTTTTAAAAATTACTAACAACGTAGCCCCAAGTCTCAGATAAAACACGGCTAAAATCCCCCTGAGGAAAGTCAGGGAATTCTTGGAATTCTTAAGAGGGGAAAGGTTACAGAAAGCAGACCCAGGAGAGACAGTTTAATGTAAATAATGAACAGTAGTTTTAAATTATTAGAAAGAGAAATAGACTGAAGGAAAGCAGCAGCCAAAAGAAAACAAATATATATATATCTATAAATATATCTATAGATATATATATATTTCAAGGAAAACCTGTTTCAGAGGATTCAGAAAGAAAAATCTTAAGCTAAAATACAGAGTAATCGCTTACGCTTCCTATACTCCCTACACATGGAAGAACAACTGAATTCATGCTGCTAAATCCATATTTAGATATCTGAATCCCAATATAACAAAGTAGTTAAGCACATTCAAAGTCAACTGAACTACTCACATGCTTAGATAAGTATCTTGTTGTATCCTCACAGAGTTAAGTATCTTCTTGGACTGCAGCCCTAAGCTAGTGGGAGCTGCTGGATATGCAGCACTTTTGAAATACAGCCATTAATTCAGGCATCTAAATATGAATTTAGGAGCCTAACTCCAGACATTTTCAAAAAACTTGTGCCCAATTTGTATGTCTTCCTTTATGTGGGCCTATTCATTCTGATAACACTGTTTTTAGCATGGTAATTTTTTGAACACTAAGTAAGGGGAGGAGAACCTAGAATAGAGTGTTTTTGATTACTACTCTAATGCACAGCACAGGTAAGTTTGTCTTTGTTGGTTGCAATACAGCTGTGATAAGACACGCTGTGTCGGTTGAGATTTTTTTTCTAAATCCACTTTTATTATATCTCTTCTCTTTCTCTCTCTCTCTCTCACACACACGTGCACAAACACACATCTAGCCAATTACATGTAGGACTAATTATGTCAACCACCCATATAGAATGAAATCATGCAACAGAAAATTCTGAAAGGAAAAGGTTAAGAACCAACCAAACCAGTATATCATGTTTGAAACATGATGTGGGTTTTCCAACAGTTGTGAAGAATTGTGTTTTCATAATGAAAACCGCAGTTCTTCAAAAGTCTTTTTAATCCTTTAAATCGGGGGGGGGGGGGG